TCTCAGTTCCTTTTAGTCCAAGCTTGCTGTGATTTCATCAATGCATCTAACACTGTGGATTTTCTATGAATTTTATTGGTGTTTTCTCCATGTTTCAAATACTACATCCATAATTCTTTTTCATATTAGGCTGCTATGGAAGATTAAGATTCTTAGATCTTAGTTATTAGATTCTTAAGATTCTTAGAAGCCCTTTTGCTTAAATGAGAGGATCTACTAGGTACTGCTTTAAATCTGTCTGAAATTTTAACAAAGGGTCTTACAACTGCATTTTACAGTTGGTTTTTACCAAGGTCATTTGTTAGTTGGACAGATTGGGAATGAGCCTGTTTTATTTTAAAACCCAGAAAGTCTTAGACCCTCTATATTTCCTCTAAATTCTGCTTGCAAACAGAATATCTTATTGTATACAGCTAGAAGCACCTAAATGACTTTCAACATATTGTTTTGAACTCTCAGCCAAACTCACAAGTTCATCAGATATGGTTTCTATCTTTCAAACTGCTATAGGCAATTGTTTTGCCAATTGTTTTATTGCTACATTTCATAGGTAACTGCATTCCCAGTTTGCAGTAGTAATATTCTTACCCCTTTTCCTAGGTTAGACCTGGCTTCTTCACATGTTAGTCTCAGGTCAACATTCCAAGAGGATGAGAGCAGATGCTGAAAGGCCTCTTGAAGACTAGTTTCAGAAGTTACACAGTGCCACTTCCAACATATTCTATTTGTCAAAGCAAGTCACAAAGCCATCCTCATTCAAGCAGTGGGGAAATAGACTCCATCTTTTGTTGGGAGAAGCAGAGCCCAGTTCTGCTCCCTGCTGTGGTTTCCAAGTGGCAAAGTCATGTTGCAAAATGGTGGGAATAAAAAGGGTAGGGAGAATCAGTGTGGCCATCCTTGCAAAAACTACCAAGGCTGGTGTGAGCATACAAAAAGTTCTCAAAAACATATCTTTTCTCAGAAAGCTACTGGGGTATGTATTTACAAAAATAAAACATGTAAGCCAAAAATATAATATAAAATGATCTGGGAATCAGGTGCTCCTATGCAAGAGAGAAACCGAGGAAACTCCCCAGAAGATATGGCTGAGAGAACCACATTCCAAATTGGAGCAGAAAGATTGAGGACTCCCAGAGGAATCTAAGAAGGATGTCTTAACAGAAAATATAGCAATCAAGAGTTATTTGGCAGCATTGAAAGAGGCATTTTCAGAGCTGTTGCAGGATATGAGAAGTTCTAACTAGCTGTTCAAGAAAAAAAATAAGCCACTGAGAAAAACTGAGGCGAATATTAACTTCAGAAAAAATAAAGCTGTACAACAAAGGCTATGTAATCACGTGTACTTCTTGGCACAAAAATGAACAACTATTAATATAATCATCCTTTAAAAAAATCACAGAATAAGAATTTAACTAAAATTGAGATAAAGCTATATTGGCAGGAAGTGGTCTGTAATAAAGCCAAAATCCTTAAAGTCCGTGTATTGTCTAAAATTCAGAGATCAAATTATAGCAGTGTACTTACATTATTTAGAAATTAATGCCTGTAGAAGTTGGGTGGGATGGCAGTGAGGGTTGTAAAACAGGGGACTGGTTTTTTTGTTATAACTTTTTATTGCTCTTGACCTTTAAAACTAAGAGAAAGCATTACATTACTGAAAAAGAATGATTTCAAAAAAATAGGTTGAGGAAAAAAATTGGCTCTTAATCAGAGGAAAAACTTATTGCCAAGAGCAGTTTTCAAGGGAGTTGTCAGGGCACAAATCCTTAAAAGAATTAAGGATAACCTATATGAATAACATTTTTAAAGGTTTCATTTTAGGTGCCAGTCACAATTTGAAGTTTTAAAACTAAAACTAAGTAAGACAATTCCAATCCTGAAAGTATTGTAGTTTTGTAGAGCAGGCTTATAGGTAAGCATGTATTTATAATGCCATATGAAAAGTGCTACAATAGTGATATGTAGAAAGTAATTTGAGATCACAGAGGAAGAGAGACAATCCTGGTTTGGAGTGGAGTTGGAGATAGCTCTCTAGAAGAGCTGACCTTAGAAATGAGTGTTGAAGGATAAATGGGTTCAGCTGGCTAACTAGATAGGGAAGAGCATTCCAGGTTGAGAAGCTCACCACGAAAAATCTCAGCATGTTTGGGAAAGGAAGTACACTCAGTGTGGCTTGACACAGGGTGTGAAGTGGGGATTGACCAGAGATGAGCCTGGAGTGCTAGAATGCAGCAGATCTTAGAGGATCTTATGAGTCATGCCAAAGGGATTGGCATGTAAGAATTTTACCCTAGGTTGTGACACATCAAATGCACATCTTAGAAAGTCACTGGCTCAGGGGAAGCCAATGGAAGATCAAATGCAGGATACAAGACTGAGGAAGGGAGACTCATTAGAATGCTAGCATAGGAAGCGAGAGCCAGACAGGAGGAAAGAGTTGAGAAATATTTCAGAGGCTGATTAAGTGACAAGTCATAGTACCAAGTGTAACATAGAGGATTCAAAGATGAATCTGATGTTTGTTGATTCATCAGACATTTATTGTGTACCTTACCTATTCTGTGCTAAGCACTCTGCCTGGCACTGCCAAGTGCCTGCATATAGGGTTGAAAACAGCATGGCTCCTGCCCTAGAGTAGCTTACAGTTTAGTGAAAACATGGAATAAATTAAAAGTAGCTGTAGCTGTGATGCTCTATCCATAAGAGGAGAACATAGTCCAGAGGGACGTGAGAAGCTGCCAAAGAGGGAGAAGGTGAAGCCAGAGTGGGTAGAGCTACTGAGGTTGAGGGAAAGACAAGTGGTCCAGGCGAGAGATCCTGCTGAGAAAGTGGGTAGCAGGGCTCAGGTGTCCCCAGATGAGGCAATTAGGAAGGCACTGATGATCTCAGAATAGCAGGGATGGTTGCCTACCAGATGTCATTGGGTGTGGAGCAAGGAGTTTGTGAGGAAGCTGAGAATACAGCTCTCTTTCAGAAGCTGGTCAGAAAGTGAAGAAGAGATAAGCCAGCAAAAGCTTTATAAAGATGTAGTTTCATAAAGATGTATCTTTTAAAATGAAAACACTTGAGCATTTATTCTCGTCAGGGCCAACTATATAACTTGTGGAGCCTGGTGCACTATGACAACTTGGGGCCTTTTGATAAATTATTGAGATTTTAAAGACAGCAACAGCAGAGAGTGAAACTATTGTCAGGCTCTTCTAAGTGAGAGGCCCTGAGTGACTGCACAGGTTGCAAGCCAGGAAGCCTCAGGGAATGGAGCCAAGGGAAGAAGGAGGAAGGGGGCCAGGTCAGTGACAGAAACTAGTCCCGGAGCAACTGGGAAGGGAAGGATTCAGGATCCGGAGGGAGGTAGAGCCTTGGGCAAGAGGAAAACAGGGCTTTGGTTATCTCCTGAGAAGGGCAGATGGAGGCTGGAGATGGAGGATGGAGGCGAAAGGGTGCTGGAAGGGGAGGACATCATGGTGGGGAGATGGCCTTCTTTACTGAATAATCTGTGGGTAAAGTGGTAGAAGTCTGTGGCAGTGTGAGTGGATTGGGAGGCTGTGCTGAGCAGTGCTGAGGAGCCTGGGGGGCAGGGATGAGTCACTGAAAGTGGCTCCACTGCCAGCAGGCACGTGACAGATGGGGCTGAAGCAAGCCAGGGACTCCAGGGAGAGGTGAAGTGGAGGGAGCAATGTGGCGAGGACTCCCCTAAGATGATGGCCTGGAATTCATGTTCGGACAGCGGTGAGAAATGGGGTGGCCGGAAGGACTGGAAGGCTGCTGAGTGGGGAGGAAGTTAAAATAGAGAGGGAAGGAGGCCCGTGTCTAAGGGGTAGAATCTTGGTGTTATTATTCTGGCCATGAGCTGGTGGTAAAGTTGGTGTAAGACCTGTCTAGAGGACTCATTCAGAGTTAAGTAGCAAAAGTAAGGAGAGCTGGAAGTTCTGCTAGTGTGTGCGAAAGTGTCAAGGGTCATTGCTATTTTAAGACCAGGCATACCTTATCCATGCCTCCTATATGACCTAAAGGAACCGCGAACTTTGCCGTAGCCTGGAATTGGAGAGAGCCGCGAATTCTTATTGAAAACGAAGGGGGTCGCCCGTGAGCAGCGAGGAGAGCGGTGGCCGGCAGAGATAAAAGAGTCTTGCTGCTCCCGCTTGGCCGCGGCCTCGGCCAGATTGCACACCTTCGCAATAAGGCCCCAGCGGGTTCCTAACTCCGCCTGCCAGTCCGCAACCTGGTGACCTCGTCTGAAGCGGCTCCCTTCGGCCCCACGAAGTCCAGCTAGGGCTTTTGGAGACCTAATCGGTCAGAAGGCAGAGGTGATGCGGAGGATCAACCAGCACCCACCAGGCGGCTTGGTTGTCAGGCCCGGCGCTGGGGTCCTGGAACAGAGGCTCGCAGTACCCCACTGCTCTCGCCTGGGGAACCTTTGACTTATCTCTTAAGAAGAGCTTAAGAAGAGCCCCGGCTCTCTGTCTCACCCTCCTTCTTAGCTTCCTTCTCCCCAGGGGAAGCCTTGCCTGGGCTCTAGGTGGCTGCCACCATCCCGCTTGGTGCTGGAGGTAGGCTTCGGACTTCCTGGTACCCAGCTGGGGTTTTCCGAATCCGGGCAGCAGAAGCCCGGCCCCTGGCGCCTTCATCTGGAAAGGGTTAAGCCCTCTGCCAGAGGGCGGCCTTGTCCCCCACCACCGCCCCCCATTCCGGTTCCCGAACTCTCAGGGGTGCAGCTCGGCCGGCGCTCCCCGGCTGCCGGGCGCACGTGCAGCTGGAGGCGCAGGCGGCGCTCGCGCTACCGGAGTCCCCGGCCGCCGCCAGCGGGCTTGGCGCAGGGCTGCGGATGCCGCGCTAGCGGTTCTGCCTTTCCTTTCCCCGGCGTGTCCCTTCGGTATGGACAGCAGGGCCAGCCCTAGGGAGCCGGAGGAGGGGAGGAGCCGGAGAAGGAGGGGACGGAGGAGACGGAGGGGAGGGAGGGGCCCGCCAGCCCCGCCCCCGCCCCGCCCCCCGCGGCCCGAGCCCGGGCTGCAGCCGGGCGCGCCTGAGCCTGCGAGCCCGCAAGCCAGCGAGCGGCGGCCGCGGCCTTCCCTGCTCGCGGTTGGCCCCGGCGCCCCGGCCTGCGGTCCCGCTCATCCCGGGGCCCCCGCTACCCGGGGCAGGGATGCATCATGGCCACGTTAGCTTGCCGGGTGCAGTTCTTGGACGACACGGACCCTTTCAACAGCACCAACTTCCCCGAGCCGAGCCGGCCGCCGCTGTTCACGTTTCGCGAGGACCTCGCGCTCGGCACCCAGCTGGCGGGGGTCCACCGGCTGCTGCGGGCGCCGCACAAGGTACGGCGGGGCGGGGCGTGCTGGGCCCCCAGGTGGCAGCCGCTGCCTCAGGATGCGCCGGGATGGGGGCGCGGCGGGCGGCCTGGGCTCGGCTCGTCCCCGGGACACAAGTGCCCAAGGGCAGACGTTCCCCCCTCCCCGTTAGGCAGAGGTGCCCCGGGCACCCGCCGACTGGCGCGGGATCTCCCCGCCTGGCTAGGAGGCCAGCCCCGCGCTGTGGCTCAGTGCCGGGGGCGGCCGGGGCTGAGCAGGTGCCGCGCTGGCCGGAGGCGGGATGGAGAAGGTTCCCCGGCGTTCCGCCGTTAGCTCTGCAGGGTGGGCGGGGTGGGGCTCGGACGCCGGCAGTCGGTCCTGGCATCCGGGCCGGCGCCTACCCCGGCGCAGAAAGAACCTGGTCCCGGGGGACTCAGGTTAATCGGAGGAGAGCCCCGAGTGGCGCCCGGGACACAAACCTCTCAGGCCTCTGGGGCCGCTGCGGGTGGCCGCAAGACCCTCGCGACAAAGCATGCTTCCCGGGGACACCTCCACCTCCCCTGGGTGGGCACCGACGAGGACGCCGGGCGCGCCCTGCGATAGGGCTCGGAGTAGCCCGTTTTTCTTAGGAGAAGTAGGTGGCCTTGGGGACCTTGGAGGAGCTGTGGCTGTGGGAGGAGCGGCGGGGGGCGCGGAGGGGCGGCGCGCGCACAAAGCCCGAGTCTTGCTTTGCCTGAAATGAGTGTCCCTTGGGAAGAATGGCTTCTCAGTCCACCCGCTAGGGTTTTGTTTTTTTTTTTAACCCCTTGCTGGAGGTCAGGCATCCTGCAGAGTGTGTTTTGCAAAGAGCTGGGCATTTAAAGCTAACCATTTAGTTAGTTACCCAGAAGAACCAATCTTCCACTTAAAACAGACTGCACCTTGAAGAATTACTTCCCCCGTACATTTTTTTTTTTTTTTTTTGCTTAAGGTTCTTATCAATGCTTGAAGATGATTTATTCTTTGAGGATCAACACTGATAAATATTTGGAGGAGATAACCCTTGATGCCAAGAAGAAAAATTGATTTTTTAAAATTCTTTAGATTTCTGTATGATGTTCACCTGCCTGGGAAGTGGAGGGAGAGGCTATGTGTGGAAGCCGGTGAACTCTGGCAGTGGTGTTTTTCTCCCTCTACTAGTAGTATATCAGTGCTCCTCCCACACACTTAATTAGTAACCTGTTTTCAGGAATGAGGAATGGGGCAGTTCTTTCTCATTTTCTCTGTATTGGTGCAGAACAGATATAGTCATCATTTGTGGGAACCTCTCTCTGGCCATAAAGCAGATTGGATTGGAAGACAGACTGAATGATGTATTGTGGATTCAGTTTATCAGAATCACTTCTGTAAATTATTTGCTTCTTTCCAATCAGTGGATTCAGTTAAAAGTCTACTTTTAGGGGCTTCGTCAGCATCCTGATATTCCATTAATTATGGTTTCTGATTATTGTGATCTTTTGTTGAAACCACAGAAGACTCATAATTGTGGCCCTATGACCTTGAAGTGGTTTCCTTGGATTTCACTCACATACATGAGTTGACCTTTCATGCTGGAAGCTGAAGTACGTTTTTATGTTTCCATGGAATAGCCCCATAGTCTTGATTCAGCCTTCCCTGGTCTGGTGGAAAATCCCGATGCTCTAGCATTGCTGCCCTCCCTCCCCCTAACTGGAAGCCACAGCACAGCAGTTGTACTGGATCACAGAACTTTCTGAGGTATCCCTTGTGGGAGAAACAGAACAAGTAGATATCCACACAGACCCTTGACCCCTTGTCTTGGGGGCCAGCCAGACTTCATCTCAACAGTCTTTTACCCAGAGACCTCTGTGGTATATTGTGATTTTTGGCTTTGTTTTTCACATCCAGAACTAAGTGAGTAACTGATTCTATTCACCAAGGTTCTGTAAAGCAGAATTCAGGGCATTTATGTGCCTATGTGCACATTCATATTTTAAAATGCTGGTTCATTTCCAGCAGGGAATCTTAAAATTGGATGATCTGCTTGTGTAGGAAAGAGCCAATGAGTTTTGAGCACCTGGCATGCAGGTGTGTGCTCTGCCTGCAATGTCAGTGCATGATCTCATTTAATATTACACACCTCTGTGAAGTGGAGACTTTTACTATCCCTGTTTTACAGAGGAGGAAACTGAGGCAGAGAGCAATTAAGTAACCTAATTTCTCTGCTAGTAGTGGGGAGCTGAGATTCAAACCAGGATTGTGTGACTCACCCCCCAGCACTATTCTGCTTCCTGGGCCAGGTGTTTAGTTGTGCATAGAAGCAGCACCTCCTGGGGGTTCCATTTCATTAACTTGGGATGTTCACCAAATCACCTTTGTGTGCCAGGTACTTTTTGGCCTGGGGCAGGTAAATGTTACAAGCATGAATAAGAGCCTTGAGGCTGAATTCTTGGCCTGGTAGAGTTCACATTTAGCAGTGGGAACGTAGTTACCAACCTTGCTGTCAATCAGCTAATGGTGAGGGAGTGGGCAAGCTGTCATCCCAGCTCCTGCTTTGGGTAAAGCTTCCTGTGCCACAGAGAATGCTTCTACCAGGTGCCACTGAGCCAGGCCTTGGCCACAGGAGGGTTTCTTGGGGGAGGGCATTCTTATGCATGGTGGAAAGAGAGAAGAAGTGTGACTGTGGGAGATGCAGACACCCTCAGTGTGCTCAGCACACTGTATCCTGCACATACGAGTCCCTGGGGGATAGACTTTTGCTTCAATTAGATCGCACATACAGGAAAGTGTGCAGGGCGTAAGCGAGCAGCTGGATGAATTTTCACTAAGTGAACACACCTGTGTAACCAGCTCCTAGAAGACCCCTGCAGAAGGTCCTAATTTGTAAAGTTCTCCTAGAATTCTCTTGTGCTGGAAGACTTTGAATTGAATAATGTCTCAGGCCCTTCCTAGCCAAAACTTGAGTCTGTGCATCTTTTTTTAACTTAATGATATATTAGTTTAGTTCCTGTCTACTGACTCCATTAGAAGTTAGTTGTTCACTTAACTAAACTATCATCTTGGACAAAAACAATACATTGTGTTTATTATGTTTTATCTTTTTTGTTCAAAACTGCTAGATTGAAAAAAGAAGCTCCAGATTTTTATTGCAGTCTCAGGGAAGACGATTAACTAAATGAGTCTGATAACGAAACAGTCAAAACAGATACTGAATTCTCACTGGGGAGATGGTCATTTTGGTGGTTATATGCTTTGTCTGGATTAGCTGAGGCTTTTATTTTCATAAACAAGTGTTTATTTTTGGTTTATTGTTTTAAAAGAGAAAATCAAAAATATAAATATACTTCTAACTTAGAAAAAACTATGTCACCGAATTAATAAATCACAGACCTTTCAAAACTTAAATGTGTTTGGATTGATCGATATTAAAAACTAAGAATCTAAGCATTCTTGTTTCCCTTTGATAGAAAACTGGAACTATAGGATGTTTTTACAAAAATGTGACAACTAGCTTACATGTCAAAATGGCAATTATGACTTAGTAATTTAATTCAGGAAATGTTTTGTGCCTTCTGTGGACCAGACGGAGTACAGTGATAATAGTGACCATGTCCTAGGCACTTGCCCGAGCCAAGCACCGTCCTAGACTTGTATCATCTCACCAAGTCCACAACTGCCCCATGGGTCAGGGACTGGGATGTTGGGATGTTGTATCTCATAGCAGAAGAGACCCAGAGAAGAAGGAAGTCACCTGGTCACACAAGTGGGAAGTTTCAGAGTTGGCATTTGATACCAGATTTGAGTTCTTAAGACCTCCATTTTTGAGTCTTGGTTGTCATCCTTCCTGGTGGCCCATCCATGTTTCAGAGTTCCATCCTCTCGTTGTATTAGCCTTCATTGTATCATGTTCATTCCCTTCTCACTACCTTTGTCTTTGTGGTTATCTCACTACCTCAGCTATTCCACCTGTAAAACAGCCAATAGCAGTGATGATTTGAGCCTTGGTTCTCCAACTGTGCACTGGGCATCACCTAAGTCTCTTATTAGAAATCTGCTCTCAGCCTCCCCAGAGCTGCTGAATCAGAATGTGCATTTTCCTTAAGATGCTTTGGTGATTCCTTTACACAGTGGAATCCTGAGCAGTGTGGATCAGAGGTCACTTAGGTCAGGCTATCAGTATGTGGGTGTTCTCACTGTCTCCCTTGTTGCAGATAACTTCCTTGAGTGTGAAGACCTGGTCTTCCAGCTTTCCAGTATTTCCCTTGAAGCTGAATAGTGCTAAGATGGAGTGAGCACTAAGATGATTGATCAGTGTTAGTTACAGAACACGAATCCACTGGTATTATTGCTCTAATGAATTTTCACCTTAATCCTCTTAAGGGACACATCTGTTTGCTACATTACATTAAGATTTTTAAAAGATGAGATCATTAGTAAAGTTGGCAAGTGTGTTGTATCACATAGCATCTTCAGACAAAACTGTTTAAGAGCCCTGCAAACTGCTAAGAGTGTCTGCACTCAAGTTAAATTGACTGACTCTCCCGTAATTAGCTCAGTTAGTTAGAGCTGTGTTATTAAGATCAGGATCATGGGATTGAACACTTTATGGGTCAGTTGGCTTTGCTTCTTCATGCATGGCCATAGAAGGCATCAGTATACCAGCCAGATGTTCAGCAAGTGCTGTCATGGCTCCCTGCAAGGATCTGGGATGGAAGGCACTGGTAGAAATCTTTGGGGGGGAAAGGCTAACATATAATGAGCTGGTGCTGAGCACTGCACAGTAGAAGGCCAAGCATAACTTCATTTATCTTAATAACAATTCTAGCAGACAGACAATGGTATCCGCAGTTAACATATGGGGAAGCTGAGACACAGAGAGGTTAAGTAGGTTATCTAAGGTCACACTGCTTTTAAGTGAAGGAGCTGGTCTTTTTTTACTCCAAAGCCTGTAGCCAACTGTGTCCCATTATTAGAAAACCAGCAGAGCACATGCTATCTGTGCAGGGAGAGGTGGAAGGGGGAGAGCCGGG